CATTATAATTTCATGATTTTATACATATTATCATACATAGACTGCACGTAGACTTTTAATACATGTATTAATATACATCGAAATCACTATACTTAGTCAGTTAATGTAAATCTATATGATTAAGTATTGAAAGATTACAATTATATATAATATGTTTATATATTGTTATAATAAAGAAACATTTTAATCGATCTTACGTAGTCGTACGCATTATTTATAGGTACATTGGTACAAACGGTAAATCGACCGAGGTTATGAAATCGAACATATGAACGAGATATCATAACTTTATAAAGTACCTAATTAAAGTATAATATTATGTCATAATAAAACCGTTGAGGCCATGATATGTATTCATTGTCTTGTCGTGTCGGAGTTTGCAGAAACCTGATCCACACCAATATTGCGCTATTACAAGATAACGACAGCGCACAGTGGTGTATTAAGGATTTTTCAATATGATAAAAAGTGTAGTAAATTAATGAAAACAAAAAACATTCCTCACATTCTATTTGAAATTTGAATTTTATTTATTTGAATTACTAAAATGTATTTTCTTAAACAAGTTATATATTTCCAAATGTTTACAACATACTAATAATAAAAAATAAATCAAGTTATAATTAAAACTAACAAATCGAACAAAATACAGCATAAAACCGGGAAAAAAATCTCAACGATATTTCATCATCATGTACCATACTCGCTTATAAATATGTAATAAATTTTGTGTGAAGAGAAGTATATTTATTATTTAATTAATATTTATAAAATAAAATAATGTTGATAACTTGGTGTTATACCTACTCATAATGCAGAGTATTAGTAGAGGCGCAGATTTTAGTGGTATCTACGATTACCTATGTGTAACTTAATACTTATATTTTATATAAAATAAATAATAATAAAATGTATTTAAAACCGTATTGGGTATCTGTATAAAAAAAAACAAGCATTTCATTTACATCGGCCTGTATTGTGTTTAGAGTTTTTAATTTAAGTAAATATTAACATACTTAAATCGTACTGTTATTGATTGCCAGTAGGAAGGTATTAATGCTGTCTATGTGTATGTTTAAAATGTATACGTACATGCGTTACGACACGATTCAATTAGTTTCACAAGCACTTTTAATTATACTATCGATAGGCTCAAATAAACAGTGTAATACAAATTTGTGTTCAAAGTATTATTAAAAAAAACAATTAATAACTACCGTAGTCCATTGGTAATAATTTATAAATTTTATCGATGTATATTATGAACATAACTGATATGAAATGAATAGCAATCGTATTTCCAATTATGAAGAAAAGTACATGTAATTAAAATATCGAAATAGACGGTTATGGTTTGTTATTGAATAATTATACATTCTTCGACACTCCATTATTAAGCATATATTTTTTCTATACATCAATTGTATGTTAATTCGTTTCGTGTGCATAAAATCCGAGTGGTATAGAAAAAGTAAACATTAAATTTAGCAAAAAAATTATTTTCAACTATCGTTGATTAGAGTTGATTATTGGAATCTTAAAGTTTTTTTTTTCTATTGACGTCTGAGATGATTAAGGTAAATTATCTGAATAATTTATACCGGTTGCCAGCAGAATGAATATAACAATGAAATTTGTCTTTGAAAATAATAATTATTTATTCGCTCGAGTGTGATTGGTGTTGGCAAGGCCGTATCTAGAAATATTTTGTCGCAGCTTAAATCATGTTTGACTGAATATATTTATGTTGGTATTAAAAATAAATAAATATTTTAAACGTTCGTAAAATATTGAAGAAATTTCGGGGCGGGGGGTTAGACACCCTGGACCCTCCCAGATACGGCCTTGGGAGCAGGGAGGCATGGACTATGGCATATATATCACGTGTAAATTAAAATGTATTGATTTATTTAACAATAATTAAAAATGATATATGGGCTATATCAGAGAAACACAGGGAACTTTATAAATATAAAGATTCGTATTTGCTTCCCAAACTAGTGTCACAAAGGCAGGTGTGTATATATGGGGGCCATGGGAGCGATGCCCCTTTGCCAAATATCACGAAACAAAACGAAAAAAAAATTATAACATTTTATGTCAAGCAACGATAAAAATTATATTTTTCTCTATAACAACTATATATCGACATTTTTTCAGAAAGCAAAAGAAAATTAAATTTCACTCTATAATTTTTAATTTAATTTCATATTTATTTTTATTGTTTTTAATTATACAGTTTTCTTTTCAATGTACTTACCTATTTTTTTTTAAACTTTATTTGAAAGTTTATTCCTTTATAGTGTTAAGAAATATTTATGATAAACGGTAATACTTATAACATTATAGAATCATTATATAATATATATACTATATTATGTCTATAATATAAAATTGTCTCCCCCCCCCCCTTATAATCACTCTGTATTCGCGCCTGCACAAAGGATATTCCGTTTCAAGAAATAATTATGTGCCATAATAAGTATGGTATATACGTATATATTTTTTTCCGTATGGTTGTATAAAATGATTTCCGTAATGTTGTATTGGATAAACTGGTTTCATTTTTCGATTAAATAATAATTCGATTTAAACAACGTAATATGTTTTGTCGCATTCGAAAACAATATGAAATGTAATTTACTGGAAAATACACATCAAGATTTAAAATCTGCAGCCTGTTTTTATTCATGCATAGGTATGTGAATGTAAAGTATACCATTTCAATTTTATGACTTTTTACTAAAACTATTGGATTGGCCATTTCAAGTTTATCATATTAAATTAGATTTTCGTTCTACACATACACATGACTGCAGATAACTGATATCTAATGAAGGTGGAAACATTTGGACCATTTTAAATTTTTCTTCCTCGAAATAACAGTTATTTAAAGAAAAAGAAAACAGCGATGAAAAGAATTGATATATGTGAATAAAATCTGCATTGAACAAGTAGTTCCCTAAAGACATTCAAATTTAAATTATTATATGATAATATTGGTTTGCTCACTTCTGAAAAAAATTCTGTGCGGTTTGGTACCTCCATACCTATATATGGATATAAATACACATGTTGTGTTCATGTATTTTTAGTGCAAATAATTTGAACCCACTTCAAACTGCTTTTGTATAGAATTAAAAGGGAGACATGCTTTTTAATATGTCAGTTTTTTTTTATATAGATGTCGAGCTACTATTTATTTTCGTTTTTCATTAATCATTAATTTATTCCTACACTTTAAACCCTGCACTTATTATAATGTTTTATTTTTTAAAACCTAAAACAATCCTGTTTGTGCAAAACTTATCATAGTCACTTTGTCGATCATTCAAGGTTGGGGGTTCAATGAAATTTTCTCCTGATCCACTAAGAACCATAGCCTATAGAGCTTGATGAAACCGGTTCAGGCCAGAAGTTAAAACGAAAACATACTTAATTGATTTAAAATATAGGCAATATAGTGATTTTTTAATAGGCATTTAGTGGTATAGGATTTATTTTGTTCTTGCGAGTTTCTTCGGAGTTGCCTTGTATTATAAAAAATTGCATTGAAAAATCGATTCGCCTAAGTGTATTGAAAAAATGTAAAAAACGTAACTGATGATCTTTGTCATAGGTGGTTCTATCAAAATAGATTTCCAAATAAAACAAAATAAAATAAACTAGGCCCGGACTCAGACCATGCGGATTATTATTTTATCATTACATTACAAATAAACTATAATAATCAAGTTGTAAACCATAATCGTATTTGAGTATTTTGAATATTGAGTATTAGAATGATTTGATGTTTTTTTACAGATTTTGCTCTAATTTATAATGATTTAAATAAAAAACTCCAAGGCCGAGGTCAAACAGTTTTAACTATGTTAAATAATAACAAAATTAAAAAAAAAAAATGAAGTTTTTTGTAAATATCTACAAAATGAAAACTTGAAATATTTTCCTTATTTTAAAAAGCAATTAATAATAACAAAATATGTAAAAATATTAAAAAATGCATACGAATTATTTCCAAGCAGGTTTTCCCAATTTTGTCATCTACATTCAACTTTAGAATTTTTAATAAATCCCCATAATATTACATTTGACGAACTTGAACTTAGTTTTGTTGAGTAGTTAAGTATTGAAAATTTAGAAATGGAGTTAATAGAATTTCAGGAGAGTAATATCTAGAGTAATAAATTTATTAATTTGAATAATGAGCTAGAATATAATCATCATGAAATTGGTAGGAATGTTAAATCGGAAAATTTGATTCTTAACGAGTGGAAAAGTCTTCCAAATTCATTGGATCTATGAAAAAAACTAGCTCTTTCTTTGACAATGTTTGGATCTACTTATGCGTGTGAGCAGCTTTTTTCTTCCATGAATTTTATTAAGTCAACTATAAGAAATCGTCTTGGAACAGATTTAAGTGAAGCATGTGTTCAACTAAAATCAACCAATTTCAGTCCAAGAGTTGATTCATTAGCCAATAAAATGCAGCAACAAATTTCTCATTAAAAATTTTATATTTTAATATTTCAATATTTTTTATAAATTACATTTTTTTAAATACTTACGTGTTACTTATACTTTTGGCATCTATTATATTTAAATTATTTGATAATGGAATATTTGATTTGTTTTTTATCGTTCAAACCATGAATGTAGGAATTTTGAAGAATGAAAAAGGGTTACCGTAAAACCGGGTGAATAGAAACAGTGGGGTAAATAGAAACAAAAACAGGAAAATTATTATTTCTTCGTCCCTATAATCAAATATTTGTGTTATCAATATGCAACCTTCACTAAACCGAATATACACTAGTACGAAATTCGATAAGCTAGAAACGTTCCATTTATGTTTCCCTCCATGCACGTGAAATTGATAACAAACATGTACTATTTCTTATCAAAAAAAAAAACGTAAAATACAAACTCACTGTTTGTCATGAAATAATAACCTAACCGTTCACTTACACATTTTAATTGTTCGAGCTAGATGTCAGGAGTCGAAAATTGTAAGTATAATAATTTTAAATTCATTATTTTTTTTTTTATTACACATTTTATAAAATATCTCTTTTTGAGGGTGAATAGAAACAATCTAACAATAAAAACAATATTAAAAAAAAATATCCAAGAGCCAAAAAATATCAGATTCCCAATTAAATTACAGGTAGAACCAGGGAAAAGTGTTGAAACTGTGTCAGATACTGATAGTGACTCAGAACTAATAACAGAATTACCTCATGAAAGTTCATCAGATGCAGACGAACCTGAAATGTCAATAAGTAATGTTCTTCATACTACTTCAGAACCTCAGGTAGTGAAACATGGCATAACATTTAAAAATGTAATCCCTATATACAAAGAAAATGAAGTAAACGTTGATGACTGGGTATTAGTATCTTTCCAACTCGACAATCTGAAGCAATCATCTAGTAAAGATATGGTATACATGTATTATATTGGACAAATCATTAAACAATTAGATGGATCTACATTTGAAGGTACATTTTTAAGAAGCAAGACCACAAAACTGTTTAAAGGCTTTGTGTATGGGTTTCCAAATGTTAAAGATATTTGTGAGTTTGATAGATCCCAAATTATTGGAAAAATGCAAAAACCAATACCATATTGCAGAGGGCTTTTCAAGTTCAATTTTAACTGTAACTCCATATAGTCTTCTAATCATTTACTTTTAACAATTAATAGTTGAAAGTATTAACTAATTAATTATGTTTGTTGCCTACTGTTTAATATAAAAAAGTAAATCCAAAGACTGGAAATTAAAAGACTAAAATGTTAATTTAATTTTTATTTTTTCATATGATGTATTTATATACATTTTGTTACATTTACATTTACCCATGTTAATTATAAGAATTATGTTTATGTTTGTAACCTATTATTATAAGTGATAAGTAAATCCAAAGACTGGAAATTAAAAGACTAAAATGTTAATTTAATTTTAATTTTTATTTATTCATATTTATTCATGACTAATATTTTATGACAAGGTGTTATTTTTATTTTGTTTTTTTATATTTATTGATACAGTTGGTAAATGTTGTTGGATTTTAATAAAAAAAAAAAGTTTAATGGCAAAAGTTGTGTACAATTTTTTAAAAATATCAATAATCGTTTCTATTCAAAAACCTGTTGATATAATAAAAAAATATATAAAAAAGTCATAAATTGTTCGATATGAATCGTAGACAGTCGAGGGACCACTTGGTATGACCAAGAACGAAAAAATTAAATTTGTAATAAACGCCTTCTATCTACCGTATAGGCAACTCAACGTCTTGCCGCCTGTGAGTGTATAGAGTCGGCAACCCAATGTGCACGACGACGACTGCGACCAGGACGGATGACGATAACTTAACACTAGCACGGGAAAGGGGAAGTTGAGTTTAGTTATAAGGGGGGGAGTCTCTGTGGTCGGATCGGTATGGTGCAATGACCACAGAG